GCATAGTTTCCTCTGTAGAAGGTGCTGCTGGTGCCTGGCTTGGACTCCTGGTGCTCTTTCTACCCAGGGAAGGCTGTGTGTTGAGACCCCAGGGCATTGCCTAAGGATGTTTTTTGGCTGCAGAAGCACCTCGTTTGCTGTCAAAGGGATGTCGTGCCTAGACCTAACGGCTGCTGGTGGGGTCAGTGCCCACAGCCTAGGGAGAGATGGATGGGCACAGCCAGGGGCTCAGGGACCACTCCCAGCAGCAGGTGAGTGGAGGCCAGAGCCCAGACCACAGCTGTTCCCAACACATCTGTGCACGCACATGACACCAGGCAATCACATTGGAGCCCATGTCCTGTGTACAAGACCAGCGCCCATCACAGGCTGGCCCACCCTGCTTTTGCACGCAGAGAGGAGAGGAATCCAGGCATGAATTTCCAGTGTCCTCTGCATCCGTGAAAGGGTGAAGAACAGACATGGCCAGCTCCCGAGTGGACACCAGCCCAACCAAAGGGCCAGCTTTGAGACCAAACCAGAACTTCCACGCCAGCTGGCAAACTAAAGTCAGGGAGGGGGTTTCATCAAAAAGCTTGGCCCAGAGCCCTCAGTCTGTTACTGGGGAACACTAGACTCCTGGCACCACTGAGCCCCTCTCCTTTCTCTGGAGACCCAGTGGGGCAGGATGAGGCTGCCTTGACAGAGCCACTCACCCATCTCTGCCCTGGACGTTTGGTTTCTGCAGACTGGCCAGTAATTAAAAGCACCACTTAATCTCTAAGGCCAAGCTGAGGTTCCCAGGATGTGATGCCAACTACCATGGGCTGGCATGCAGAGAGGCCCAGGCCAGGGCTGCAGACACACAGGGAACAGGCCTACGTGGCCTGCCTCTAATGACTTTCTCTTAAAGACTGTAAAAACTACGGACATGGCCTCCCTAACTGTCCAAGACGAGAGGGTCAGGCAGAGGGTGGACAGGCCAATGCAAGGAGTGACAGCAGGGAACCCTCCTCCATAGTGGCATTTAGCTCTCAGCAGCCCCTTCGTTCCCACTCAGCTTCTCCACCACTCAGCACTCGTGGGCTTCCTAAGCCTGTCACACCTAGAAGACTTGGGGTGTGTGGGTTGAGAGTCTCTGTGCCTAGACATTTCCTGGCACTCTTTAGGCCAAGACTGGCCAGGCCTCAGGTCTCATTGGCACAGGGGGTGCTCTCTGGCCCACACCTTCTTTGCAGGTGCCCTGGGACTCTGCCAGGAGTTGTGGGTATATCAAGTTTCTTACACCCCAGAGCTGACAATCCAGGGACAGGTCCAAACCTGGCCAGCTGGATCATCTCCCTGGAACCACAAAGCCCGCTAGATGAAGGTGAGATCATGTGCATTGAGGCAGGTAAGGGCAAGAAGGAAGAACTGAGAGAAGGGGTGGCAGGAGGTGGACTGAGAGGGGGTTCAAAGAGCTGCCCCTCAAGTTTTAAGTCACTGTGGCCTCACTCTGTTCCTGGATACCCTGTGCTTTCTGCTGCCTCAAGGCCTTTGCACATGTCCCCCACTCTCACCCCGGAAGTGCTCTTCCCTCTGTCTCTGAGAGGTTGGAAGCGTCAGGTCTCAGCTTGTCACTCCTCAAAACCACCTTCCCGGACCCTAGCCCCTGTGGTGAGTGTCTTAGCGCCTTGGTATGTCTGCTGTTGCCCCCTCCTCAACTCCAGCATCTTCTGGGCAGGGACTCTGTACTGTGGCTCTGTACTGGGCCACCCAGAAAAGCCTCCAGCACAAAGCAGGGCTTCGTCAGTACTGGCGAACACACAAACCAATTACAGCCAGCTCCTACTCTGAAAGCCACGTTCTGGCGTCCATTCAGGGCATGCCTAGCAGCTGAAGACAGGAACCAAGGTCAGCATTAATGGAAGACGTGGCTGGGCAGCACAAGGGAAATTTAGAGGTCTTCAAGACAGCCTGGCTGGGCTGGCTGAGTGGTGCATTGGTTAGGAGTTAACTTGGGACGATAGCTCTGAGCAGCAGGACCCCCAGGTTCGGATCCCACATGAGGGCCAGTGACACTGCACCCTCTACAGCTTGGACGGTGAACAACAGCTGGCCCTGGAGCTGCGTGGCTGTGAGTCTCCAGGGACGGCGTAGGCTGCAGTGGGGCTGGCAGGCAGCAGGTGTGAGCTTTTGTGAGCTGCCATGAGCAGCTGTCCAAAGGCCGGCAAACGACTGCCTCACCCGGGAAGAGCGCAATGATAATACCAACATGGGCCAGTGAAGCGACATCTTCCACAACTAGACTGAAGAACAAAAAGGACAGCAACTTGTCTGTTCCCCTTCCCAGATTACCCAACGCTGTTCCCTCCCCCAATAAAAAAAATTGAAGAAAAAAAAAAGACATCCTGGGCACCACCCCACTTGTTAGCAGCCTGCCCCGGGCTGTAGGGGCTGCATCCTGAGAGCCAACCCCTGGGAAGTGCAGGCATGCACACCCTCTCAGTGGGCTGGGCCATGCCCTAATGGGGATCTGCCCTTTCCCACCCATGCTGTTAAAGTGTGGCCTGCACATGTAACAGGGGCTGCCCACCAGCACCACTCATCAGTCCAGGGATGATCACTGCGGCCTGGTGGGGTCTAAGGCCACACATGCCACACTCTAGGACTGAACTCCCCCAGTTCAGCCTCTTTCCCTCTAACGGTCCCAGCGGTCACCTCTGTGTAGTAGGAACTCAGGGAATGGCTGTGTGGTGCCCCTCATGCATTACTGGGGAACAGGGAAAGGATGTCTTTCCTCGTACACCCAATGCACCTTGTGCCTCGTTTTCCTGGGCAAAGACAACTCTTACTGGAAACCCAGACCTGGTGCGTGAGGGCACACTGGGCATAGGAAGGGGTGGGAGCTGCTCCCAGGGGCAGGACAGTTTGGGCCAGGTCTGTCATCCATGCTCCTTATCCTTAAACCCTGCTTTCACCGGCATGGGTCCCATGGGCCAATAAGTTTGGTGGGTGCTCCTAGGCAGCCCCCACTTAAGCTTTCCCTCAGCATCCTCCAAATGCAGAGTAGGGACCTCCAGTGGAGGGCAGGACCTCCAAAGTGGAGCTACTGCAGACCGGCAGGGAAGGGTGTTCCTTGGCAGGTGACCCAGCAAAAGGAAACAGGTGGCAGGCCACTCTGGAGGCCAGCTCTCCCTCTGCCATCAGGTGGGGGTCTCCCAGAGCACTGTTCACCTTACAGAACATCCCCTCACCCCCACTGTGGTGTTTTCTCCGAAGGTGAAAGGTCGGGGCTACTAACTTCTGGCAAGCAGGTTAGCCCATTAATAAAGACAAGGGGCCTTCGGGTCACCCCCGCAGGACATCCCTGGGCCAGCGCCTTCCAGATGCAAGGCTTTAGGGTCCCAGGGCAGACCCGGTAAGGTGAAGGCCTCGTCCCTAGCGGACGGGTCCGCATAGAACTGGCTCCAAGTTCTAAGCGCGCAGCGTCTCAGTTTCTAAGGAATTCGCAGCCTCGGGCAGGGGTGGACTGTCGCTGGGGGCAGTCTCCCAGGGCCGGGGTGGAGACAGGAGGCGCGTCCTGCCCGATTAGCGGCGCGGTGTCCGCCACTGGGTTGGTAAAGGTGCGGGGGAGACTTCCGCACCACTCACCGACTTTCGATTTGGAGTTTTTGGTAACAGACCAGCCCCTTCTACTGCCAGGGAGACGGTGACGCTCTTTCGGCTCCCGCGGCCACTCACCCAGGCGTCCGTGACTCCGAGGGAGGTACGCGGTTGGGGAGCCTGGCGCCCTTGCTTAGGGTTACCCGGGGCGCGCGGGGCACCAGCTCGGAGACGCGCGAGTTCCGAGTGGGCCTCGCGAGGAGGAGGGGGGTATGGCGAGGATCTGGGCGGCCAGTCCGTCGCCTCCCCGCGGGTTTGGCGAAAGAATCCGAGCCGCCCTCGGGGACCGCCGGGCCCAAGGCCAACTCGCGGGGGCGGCCTCGGGCGGGGACTCGGAGCCACGGCCCGGTGCTTGCCTCTGGGGAAATGTCCCTTTCCCGACCCCACCGCCCCAACCAGGGCTGCATACCCCGCCCCATTCCCTTCTCGACAAGCGCGCCCACCTCCTCCACTCCAGGCGCCCGGAGTAGCCTCCGCCTCCGCGAGACCACCCAGGACCGCCCCGCCGGACGACCTCCACGCCCCCACCCCCTGGGTCACACCCGGAAGGCCCTGGGCCCCCGCGTCCGGCCACGCCATCTGCCGGGCGGCCCCAGGGACTCTACAGCTAGGGTCAGTCCAGGCCCCGCCCAGCGCTCCCGCCCCACTCGGCTGCCCGGGCTCCTTGGGACCGCGCCCCCGCCGCGCTTTCCAAGCTTGTACCAGGACAGGGTGGGGCACCTGGGATCATCCCGCTCCGAGCCGTGCCCCCTGGTCGTGCGTTACCTGGACGCGCGTGGTGCGCAGACCCTGAGCGCGCCGGCCTGCAGGCGCGGAGTCCCAACTTTGAGGCTAGACGGCCGAGCCAACCCTCCCCTGGGCAGCAGGCTGGCAGCAGCTGACCCCGGCGCCTCTGGGCTACGGGTGAGACGTCGGGGCTCAAGACCGGCTGGTGGGGGGAGGCTCTTGAGGACCCGCCTCCTTGCAGAGCCGGCTGCTAGAGGCCAGAGACGGGACCCGGGGCCACGCATCCGCAGAGGGAGCAGGGCAGAGAGCCCCATCGATCCCCGTCTCTTGATTCCCTTTTCCTTCCCGCTCCTCCTTGAAGGGGGGCCTGCGGCGTTGGGGGGCGATCGGACGGGCGGGTACACTGCTGGGGATCCGGTCCTCGGCTGCTGAGCGCGCCGGGCCCCACGTGGTGCGGCGCCGGGCGGGGCGCGCGGGGGCGCAGCGGGAATCGCTGCGCTTTCTTTATGGTGGGGGGAGGGGCAGGGGGCGGCCAAGCTCCGCCCCCGGGGGCAGCCGGGCGCGCGTCGGCCAATGGAGAGCCGGGCGGGGGAGGAGGAGCCTCGCGACCGCAGCTTAAAGAAACTTGTTGCGGGTCTTTACGCGGGGATTGAGCTTCGGCGGCGACGGCGGTAGGACGGCCGGGGGTGGCGGCGGTGGGGACGCTGGTCGGACCACCGCGCGGTGACCTCCGGTCCCAGAGTGGTCGCGGCGCAGCCGGGCATCGGACCCGGTGCGCTTCCCCGGTGCGCGCCCCTCCGCGCGCGGCCCCGATGCTGGACATGAGCGAGACCCGCGCCCAGCCGCCGTGCAGCCCGTCCGGCACCGCCAGCTCCATGTCGCACGTGGAGGACTCGGACTCCGACGCGCCGCCGTCGCCGGCGGGCGCGGGGGGCGGTGGCCGGGGCGACGCGGCCGAGGCGGCGGACGAGCGCTTTCCGGCCTGCATACGCGACGCTGTGTCGCAGGTGCTCAAGGGCTACGACTGGAGCCTGGTGCCCATGCCCGTGCGCGGCGGCGGCGGCGGCGCGCTCAAGGCCAAGCCGCACGTGAAGCGGCCCATGAACGCCTTCATGGTGTGGGCGCAAGCGGCGCGCCGCAAACTGGCGGACCAGTACCCGCACCTGCATAACGCTGAGCTTAGCAAGACTCTGGGCAAGCTGTGGCGGTAAGTGTCCCCAGGCCCGGGCCGGGGGCTGCGACTGAGAACTGGGTGCGCGGGGGCTCGGAGAGGTGGCGCTGTGACCAGCCTCTGCCCTGTTCTCAGTGGCTTTTCCCAGGGTGAGTCTTAGTGGAAAAACACTCTTTGGCCAGCAGGAACCAGATGCGGGGTATTCCGGAGTCTGGGCCCACAGAGGGCAGCGGGAAGAGCGTGACACCCCTACCACATTCCCGGAGTCCTGGAAGGGAACAGCCCTCCCAAGCCAGTGGCTGGCATGCTGAATTGGGGGCCCCAGCTGTGAGTGGCCCCAGAGCTAGGAAGCCTATCCCTGCCCTAGGAAAGGTGGCCTCTGTCTGGGAGCAGGACACAGCAGCAGGCAGCATGCTGTTGTCTGGAGATGCCTCCTCTTGGAAAGGGCAGAGGAAGGGGGTGTCTGTGTGCCCTGCTGTCACCTTCCCCACAGCTGCACACTTTGGCATGATGAAGCTGGTGGTTTTTTGCAGAAAGTTGGACAGCAGCAGTGACAAAGGTGCTGCTTAGGGCAGCCTATCCTACCGAACACTCTACTTGGTTTTAAAATGGATGGACGGCTTAGGGTTCAGGGCACTGGTGCCCAGTTTCCTGCTTCTCACCTCACGGAGTGCGTGCTTACTGTACATTTTCTGTGCTCCTGCTTCTGTCCAATTGGGGCTCCATGGACCCGTTCCTCTGTGCCCCCATGCCTATTCCACAGGCAGTTAGAAGTGAGCTTCTGGAAGGGTTTGAGGGACTGGTGTGTGTTCTGAGCTTCAGTGAGAATCACTGGGTTTTGCCAGTGTTTCTGGAGGTCCAGCTGCCTGCAGAGTCCCGGCTTGGTTCCCAGGAAGCTCGCTTTGTCCACAGTATATTCTCAGCTGGGTCCTGCCCTCCTTCCCCGCCTGCCTTAGAAAGCCCCAAAGGGAGGGGACAAACACTGTCTGGGTGGGAGAGGAGGGTTAGAGGAGGAAGATCTCTAGAACAAGAGGTTTGGGTCTTGTTCCGGTTCTTTCTTTGACCCAAATGAGCACATAGACCCCACCAACTGGACATCACAGTTCAGAGACAGGGAGCACTGCCTGGTGCCCACCAAGGTGCGGTGTATAAGGCTTCCCTGGTCGAGGTTGCCCTGGTACCCTCCTTGTGACTCACCTGGGGCACGGTCCAGCTCCTGGGCAGTGTGGACACTGGTGCTGGCCTGGACTGCCTTCACCACCCTGCTTGTGCCCTTGGCTCTGCAGCTTGCTGAGTGAGAGTGAGAAGCGCCCCTTCGTGGAGGAGGCAGAGCGGCTGCGGGTTCAACACAAGAAGGACCACCCGGATTACAAGTACCAGCCGCGCCGGAGGAAGAGCATGAAGACGGGCCAGAGTGACTCTGACTCTGGCGCCGAGCTGGGCCACCACCCAGGCGGTGCCGGGTATAAGACCGACACAGGCCTCGGGGACGCACACCACCATAGTGACCACACAGGTGGGCTTCCAGGGCCCTGGTGTTTGAGAATCCACAGCAGGAGAAGTGGGGGTTCTGGCCATGGCAGAGATGAGCAGAGGGGGTGGGAACAGAGGCTGACTCCCAGGGCAGGCACTCATGAGAGGACCAAACCTTCCCTGGGTACCTGGCAAAAGCCCCCAGTGGCAGCCGCTGCGGATGCACATGGGTGGGGGGAGGTACCCTGCTTAGCCCCTCTGAGCTTAGAGGGCCTGGTGGCACCCTGTGACGTGGGCGTCTCTGTCTCCCGAGGCTTTTTTGCTGGTTCTGACCCAGGACTCCTACTGCCAGCATGGTGGTCAGCAGTCTAGCTTCAGGGTCAGACTGACTGGGGTGCAGTCCTGGCCCCCAAGTAGTCTGGGTCAAGCTGGCTAAAGCCATCAGCCTTGGGGAGAACAGGTTTTATGTGAATTGTGTTGTCATGTACATGAGGCTGGGCGTTCTGTGAGCACTTCCTAAATGTTGGTTATCTCTCCTTTTCCCACCGTGATTTTCACGGTGGGGCCTCCTTGGCCCCAGGTCTTCCCGTAGAACAGTGCTTAACGGAATTTTCTCAGCCAAGGAGTGAGGTCTAGGTCTGGCTTTGCTGGAATTTCTGGGAAATGTACAGAAACAAAAAGCTGTTGATTCCTACCTGCGGCTGTTAGCAGGCTGGTTTTCCTCCCGTGTGCATGTCGCCAGCCTGCCGGCCCTGCCAGCCCCACCCCGCCCCCCACAGAAGGGGCATTCATCCCAGAAATGTGCTCCATCCCTAGGGCAGACCCACGGGCCTCCCACCCCGCCCACTACCCCCAAGACGGACCTGCACCACGGAGGCAAGCAAGAGCTGAAGCTGGAAGGCCGCCGCCTGGTGGACAGCGGGCGCCAGAACATCGATTTCAGCAACGTGGACATCTCGGAGCTGAGCAGCGAGGTCATCAGCAACATGGACACCTTTGACGTCCACGAGTTTGACCAATACCTTCCCCTCAATGGCCACTCAGCCCTTCCCGCAGAGCCGGGCCAGCCCACCGCCAGCTCCTATGGGGGTGCCTCCTACTCGCACTCCGGGGCAGCGGGCATTGGGGCGTCCCCTGTGTGGGCCCACAAGGGAGCTCCGTCAGCCTCCACATCGCCTGAGGCTGGTCCCCCTCGGCCGCACATCAAGACAGAGCAGCTGAGTCCCGGCCACTACGGTGACCAGTCACACGGCTCTCCAGGCCGCACTGACTACAGCTCCTACAGTGCCCAGGCCAGCGTCACCACGGCTGCCCCTGCTGTGGCCGCCAGCTCCTTCACCAGCTCCCAGTGCGACTACACCGACCTACAGGCCCCCAACTACTATAGCCCCTATGCCGGCTACCCGTCCAGCCTCTACCAGTACCCCTACTTCCACTCATCCCGCCGGCCCTACACCTCGCCTTTGCTCAGCAGCCTCTCCGTGCCACCCGCCCACAGCCCCCCCAGTAACTGGGACCAACCCGTGTATACCACCCTGACCAGACCCTGAGGGCACCATGGCCACACAGAGGGCCCTGTGTGGGCGGAGGAGAACCTTTGTCTCGGCAAAGACAGAGCCTGTGAGGTCTCCTGGGAGGCACTGGCCATGAGGGAAGCAGAGGCAGTCGTGTGCCCGGCTCCATCAAGTGCCTGCTGATGTGTGCAGGAAACCATGCTTGTAACTGAGCCCCTTTGCTCCCAGATCTCTTAACTTCTGGCAACGGACAAAGCCCTTTTTCTCCCCTCTCTCTCTTTTTGCGGTGACTGGCGACGTCCGAAAGACGGCCATTTTGGTCTCTTTTCTGCGCAGACGCCAGTGCCTTGGTTTTTGCATCTTAGTGGATGCAAAACGGCAGCCACAGTACAGAGGACAAAAGGACAGAGACACAGGGTCTCCAGGCAGCCTGCTTGCTGAGGTCCTGGCCAGCCTCAGCACTGAGAACTCCCAGGACCAACGGATGACATTCCCACGGCGAAACAGCACCTCCACAGCCTGGTCGGGGGATGCCTCTGCAGGAGCACCTCTTGGGACCAGCTCGTGAGATCTGAGGCGTTCCTTGTAGTTCCTTGTAGGGTTCTTCCAAGCAAGGTTTGGCTGTGATTAACACTTCTCTTTTTATTTTATAATTTTTTTATTTTTGAAGCTTAAAATGTCTTTGATTTGTTTTGAAAGCTATTAAAATGTATTTATGTCCTGTATTATTTTATCTTAAATGAATGAAGTCATTTGTGCAGAGAGTAGAATTTAAGACAAAATGGAAGCCTGGGAGCTGAGGGCTTGAGCCAGGAGGGCAGGTGGCCGTTGGGGCCCTCGCTCTGGGCCATTTGGAGTCTGGCTGCTGGGAGGGGCTGGGGAGAGCCTGCGCTCCAGGCTCCCGGGAGGCAGCTAGGACCTCGATGGAGAAGGAATTTGCCTTGTAGTGTTCAGATCAGGTTGGGGTGCCCCTGGCACCTGGTATTAAGTTGAGGTTTAGAAGGCAGGGGCACCGTTGCATTTCATTCCTGCCCATAACTATGCCAAGTGAGAAAGACGGGAATTTCCTGGGATGTGGTGGCTTCAGACACACGTTAATCTTGGCTCTTAGGAACCAGATGCCACCTCCAAGCTGTGAAACTAAAATCTTCTCCACTAAGCGTTTTTAGATTCTTCGTTTTAGACGAATAATACCTGATTTACCTGTACTGCTTCCGCTGTATGCTGAGCTACGATAACTGCCCACTTCATGGAAACTTGTGCCTTTAAACTTTGTAATTAAAACTTTGTACATTTAAATACATTGGAGAAGTTGCTTCTTTGTACTTTTTCTACTTTTTCCTACCTTTTTCTAGAAAAAAAGTCTTTTTTGCATATCTCTTTCGGGGGTGGGGGGTGATTCGGGAACTGCAGCAAACTCGTTTTTATGCAATCTATTTTTCGGTGTTGAGTTTGGACTTTTGCTGTCACTTACCTGCTGTGTTTCGCTACTTTCTGACCAATGCTAACTTTTGTACAGATCGATTTGATAAAATTAAAAAAAAATGCTTTCTATCTTTGTGGGCTGCGTTCTGTGTGTTGCTTTCCCTAAGCCTGGGGTCCCACTTTAAAGGGGCTTAGCTAAGGCAGGGGTGGGGCTCTGCGAGCCTCAGGGGACATGGACAGTCGGAGTACTCAGACCCACTTAGACCCCCACCCAGGGCAGCTTTCCATCCCAGGGGGGTGGCCACATCACTCTCCCTTTTGCGCTGTATCTGAATTTGAATACGACATCTCTCAGAAACCTCCAGGAAGCCCAAGATTCGTCTTCCTTCCCCGGGGGCCTCCTCAGTAGGCAAAACGGGTCCAGATGGGCCAGATTCGGATTTGGGGCCATGGTTTCCTCCCGGGCAAATCCCAGAGCGGGTTTCTGGGTGGCTGACGGCATTTTTTCGGGCGCTGGCACAGGGCCAGGCTGGGAGCAGGATAAAAGCCGCCCTGCAGGAGCCAGGCAGGGTTGTCTGGTTGGCGGAAAGTGTTTCTAGGGAGAAACGGTTGTGGGAAGTGACAGTGAGTGAGGGGCAGCCTCAGCCTCTAGTTGGGCCTCCCCGGCACATGCAGCTAATTCTGGGGTGTCTTAGGTCTGGGGGTGAGAGGAAGATTATGCTTCTCACAAGAACCCAGATGCACGAGGCAGCTGCCTGTGCAATTTTAATGGGGTGGTCTGGATAGGGGGGCACCTACCCCAACCCCTCGCCCACCCAGCCGCCTGAATGGCTACAGTCCAGGGCACGTCCCTCGCCCCATGCTGGGGAGCAATGTCCAGGGCCTGCCAAGAGTAGTGTTTGGGAAGAGCTGCCCGGATTTATGAGGGTTGGTGTAGTCCAGGGTGTGCCAAGCCTCCAGGGTAAGGTGGGGTCTGCGGGGAGGAAGGTGGGTGGGTGTGGGGGGGCAGCTGAAAGCCAGGCTCATGAGTGCCCTTGACCTTGACAGCTCACTGCCTGCATGGAACTGGCCCAGCCTGTCCTGTGTCCAGCCAAAGGCTGCTCCGGTCCATATGGTGCTCCGAGCTCTCCCATTGATACCCCAAACCGAGAAACCCCCTGCGTCCGGCTTGCTGACAGGGCGAGTGAGGCCGCCCTTTGGCTGCTCCGGGTTTGCTCAGGCCTTGCCAGGCTCCCAAGGGCTGGACATTCTTCAGTTTTGTTTGGACTTGGTGGGGCTCCTGCATGTTAACTCCTGGGAGCCCGGCGGCCCTCCTTCCCACCAGCCTGCCCTTGTGTGAAAGCCCCATGGGTCCTGGGTCCTGGGTCCTGTGAGAGCCTCCGTGGGCTTCCTACTTCTGAGCTCATGAAGCTTCAGGGATCAAAAGGACGGCCACCACTGTCCTGGGAAGGCCATGCCCCTGCCCGGGTCAGAGGGCACAAAGATGAGAACTCCTGCACTTTGTCCCTGCCCCTTCCAGGGCCCCCTTCCATCTCTGAAGGCTGGGCTGGTGGCTTCCCCTCTAGGAGCATTCTCAGGCACTCAGGGGCCCTGGGAGTCGGGAGGTCTTGCTCTCCCCAGGTGACTCTCTGAGGAGGTGGCTGAGGCAGATACCCTGGGGATCAGAGCTGCTGGGAGGGGTCCTGGGAGCTGCCCTGGTCCTCTGTTGAAGGTTTTTCGGGAGTTCCTGGCTGATGACATTATTCTCAAGGCCAGCCTCGGCCCCGCCTTACCCCAAGTCCAAGGAGGCATTTGCACAACCTCTCCCAGAGCCCCGTTCTCACTGAGAGTGGCCCATCCCGGGGATGGGCTATCAGGAAAGTTCCTCATTTTTTTATTTTCTCACCTAGAACAGAGTGCGTTGCCTCTGCTCTCAGCTGAACAGAATGCCCTGTTCAGAGAAAAAGGGGAAATGGCATAGATGATGCAGCCCTGCTCTGATAGACTAGAAAAGCCCCTTCTGGTCCCAGGCACAATTGCTCTTCCCGGGACAATATCAGCTTTCAGGAGCGTATTTTCTGTTTGGACGTGAGTTCACGGCCAACTTGACTGTCAGCTCTGGGGAGGGTCTGTGTCTTCCGAGCTGCTGCCTGGGCGAGGCCCTCGGCCCTCCTCACCAGGTCTGTCCCAGGGGTCACATTTGGGACCCAGCCAGCCTGCTGTGACTTTAGGCCACATTTAGGCACCCAGGATGGCACCCAGGATGAGCTTCACGGGCTTGGGGTCCTGGCTTGGTGTCTGGTTCCTCCCTAGTGTCTGGCCCAGCACAGAGGATCTTCATGGACCCGCTCTCTGGCCAATTAAGTTTGCAGGGGCTGCTGTCCATCAGGGCTGCAGGGGTGGGGGGTGAGGGGTTCTCAGTGGTGACGTGACAGCCACCAGACATTAGATAAGCCCTCACCACCTGTGTGGATGGCCTCCTTGGACACATTCCACCAACCTTCACAGAAAGCCCGTGCCAACCAGGACCTAGTATCAGGGCCACAGAGCCAGCAGTGCCAAATCTCCCACTTGCACTGGGAGACAGTGCAGACCCCAAGACAGGGAGATGGGGCTGCCCCTAGCAGGCAAAGGAACCAAATCATTCCAAGGGAAGGAGACTGTAGTTGCAGGGTGCCCCCAAACATGGCCCCCTACCTGGGCCCCTGCTCTCCGAAGTCTGCTCTAACCCTGAGCCATCCCAAGGACCCAGTTGGAGCTGAGCCAGCCAACGCAGGTGAGGGAGCGGTGCCTTCTGTCTGTCTGCCTGCTGCCCCTGGTCAGGATGTGCGTGGGGGCTGCAGGGACCCATCAGGTGCCCTGTCACCTTGGGAACCCCGACATTCCGAGTTGTCGGGGTGGGGTAGGGAGGAGCATCATCTCCCTGGCTTCATTTGGAGACTTTGTGTCCTAACGCCTCCTGCTTCCTGTCTCACTCTGGTGGAAGTCTGCCTACTTTTGGGGTCCCCTGTATCCTGGAAGGAGCAGGTCTGAAGATGACGTCTTCCCAGGATGGGGCTGTAGGGGCCCTGGGGCTCACTGGGGGCTGCGGGAGTCTTCGAAAGAGGAACCAGAAGGGGCAAAAGAGGGAGACGCCCTGGGGCTTAAGACCTGCCCCCATGTGAGGACCATCCTGGAGCAGAGAAGGGCTGAGGGCTGGCGTTGACAGCCTGGCCCTGCTCATACACCCCCACATCCCCAGCATCCGGCCGCTTCGTCCAGCTGGCTTTGGAGCACCTGGTTTTCTTCTGGGAGCCTCGGTTTCCCCACCTGTAAGATGGGAATGCCCCCCCCACCAGGTGTTGGGGGGAATTCGGTGAGATTAGGACCTGCTGTGACCGAGTACTTTGCACAGATGCCTGAGAGTGACTATTGGTGGTACCATCCCTACCTTCAATCACATGATGCCTATTTGCTCATCTGCAAAATAGGGTAGGTTTTCCGGTAAGAAAATCACATGAAAGTGAAATGGGCAGAGAACGTGCATCTGAATAAAGGCTGGGGGCCTTGCTGCCACCTTTCCTGTCTCCACCTCTGGGATCCTTCTGCTGCGCTGAGGTGGACTCCAAGTCTGGAAGGCTTCCCTACAGGAAGGCTTGCTGGGCCAGTGGTTGAAAGCTCTGCCACTTGCCAGTTGACCTCTCTGTGCCTCAGTTTTCCCTATGACCATGAGATGGTGATGGCCTCGCCAAGGTGCTCTGAGGATTAACCAGGCGTGGCTGAAGCCAGCACATGGGCACAGCTGACAGGCACCTTCCTGTCCCATCCTGCCGGCAGGCTTGTCCCTGGACTCCTGGGACCTTCACTCCTCTCCCCAGCCTCACGGTGACTTGTTGTTTCAGACCCCCTCAACTTGGCCCTGGAATGGCTGGCTGGTGGAGGCTCGGTCAGCCTCCCTGCCTTCTCTGGCCAGGCCAGGCTGTCCCCCGGCAGGGCACTGTGTGTGTGTGTGTGTGTGTGTGTGTGTGTGTGTGTGTGTGTGTGTGTGTGTGTGTGTGTGTGTGTGTGTGTGTGTGTGTGTGTGTGTGTGAAGCCCTCTCCGCACCGGCCAGGCCTTTCTAGCCCCTGCCTTCCCCAGGGTGCTGGGCCCAGTACCTGAGCTTATCCAGCTGCCGCTGCCACGAGAAAGTGTGACATGCTTTCCAGGAGGGCCCCTCACTGGCTCAGGTCAGGTTCTTCCCTGAACGCCAGCAGCTGCAGGAGCTCTGGTCACCTGCTTCCCAGAGGCCAAAGCGGGCTGGCACCCCAAGCCAGGACCCCGCAAAGGGTTAAGGGGCGCGAGGCCTGACGGGGGCAGAGCAGCCCGGCTGGTGCAGGGCCAAGAGCTCTGGGGAAGGCGCTGCATTTTAATGAATCATTATTGCCGGGAGGCCTTTGTCTTTCTTTATCCGGTGCACAATAAAAGAATTAATTAGACAGAAAATGGCAGGGCAAGGAACTGACAAGTCATTAAGGGCTGCTGAATGACCGATGAGATGCACGCTGGGGTGGATTTCGGCTCCGGAATGATAATGGCCAGGCTGGGTGCTTTGTATGCACAACCAGCGGGCCTCTGTGCCGGCATTGTGGGCGCTGCCATTGTGGCCGGCCAGAGCGGGCCAGCGCCGGCCTGACTTTCCAAAGGCAAAGTGGGCAGTGGGACTCACCCCACAAAATCAGGGTCTTAATTTTTGTGTGCAGACACAGCAGTAAATATTTAGACTCAGAGGGGACTTTGGGTGGGAGTTCTGGCCCCTGGACTCCGGTTTCCAGCTCTGGGGACAGAGGGCGGCAGTGGGGGTGCTCTCCACGCTGAGAGAAGCAGAAGACGGGTAGGGGGAGGAGAGGAGGGGAAGAGGAGTGGAGAGAGATGGAGAGGAA